CCAGACTACGAGTTCCAGTCACAATAGCTGGATTTATGAGGATGTAGGCTACTTGGTTTGAGCTGCATGCTAACATCCCCATGCTATCAGGTAACAATAACAATGATGTTTAGCAAGTAAGATAAGGGCATTTTGGCTCCAGATGCATTTCTTTCTGACCCTTAGACATTCTTCATGACCAACAAAGTCAAGACAGAAGTACTGCTCTGTTTTAAGCTGCAGCCGAAAGGAGGACGATAACGGCCGTATCCGCTACAGTTCTCTATCAGATAGACGGTTCGGCCACACGAGGCCGACAGGGAAACGCAGATAGCGATAACGATAACGGTAACGGGTCCCAAGGTGGGTAGATCTGCGGACGAAACGCTCTGGGGGGCCCTGGGGGTCTATAGGCCAGACCACCGTCACACAGCTGATGGTGATTAGATAATCATGATCAACAATGGGGGTGAGGAGGATCGATCAAGAGGCCCAATCAAAAGAGTCAGGAGCTAGAGGAAATGAAAATGACATCAAACAAAACAAGACCACTATAAACATATTGATGGAAAATAAGAGAAAAAGCTTTACATTTTTTAACTCTAAACCCTTCAGATAAACACTGACTAAAATATTTGTGATGGATCATTTATTATGTTCCATGCCTCACTAATCAAAGACTTAAAACAGTTCATTCATTATTTTAAAACGTATACCATGTTTATCATCTGTGTTTAATGTGTTAGCGTGCTAACATTAGCTAATTAGCGAAGCAAATTACATTTGAAGCTAATAAGAACCTGAGTTGTATATAGTGTCAACAGTTGTAGCTTCATTTGGATTCATTTTCCGGGCAACTTAAATGTGTGTACAACATTTCTGTTCAAAGAAAAAATTGTAAGAAATGTTTCTGAGATATTTCAAAAGAAGCTGCTCCATCAACAAACAGGATGGTTGTCATTGCCAAGACATTTCACAAGCATGGCTCAAATCCCAATACAAGTACCTAGAGTCCAAGGTAACTATAAAGAACTTGTTTTGTCGAAAGGTAAAATAATAAATATAAAATAAATGTGAAAGTCCTAACATTGCATAAGCTGGAACCAATGACTGTTTGCTACTTCTGTTTGATAAATGACTTAAAAGTGTTCCAATGAATTATCACAATTTTTCTTTGTATCTACGGTAATTGTGACTCTTGCTATTTCTAGACCTCTGTGGTACTTTCTCATAGTAACTCCCCCTGAACTGACAAAACGTCCCTTAAACTCTGCTTTAAAACACTGTCAAAATCACTGCTGGTGCTATTTTGCAAAACCGCATGGAACAAACTGAATGACATCAGGATGAAGGACTGTCCCGTTAATTCATTAATCTCCGGCTAGTGTCAGATGATCTGAATAACAATAACATCCACTCTCACTCTCTCCCCAACCTAATTAATGAAAGTGTAACGTTGTGGTTTCAGGCCGCAGATACGTCGTATATTAAAGCTGGCAGGAGCCACAGCCTTCTCGCTGTGACCCTGAGCGGTGGCTGCATTTCAGTTCTGGTAAAGAGAAATGTCGGGAACTGGAGTCACCTTTCAAACCAAATGCACCAATGGTCCCCCAAGCTGGGAAATTGCTTTCCGTCAGAAAAAAACACTCCAGTGGCAGAAATGTCCTTCAGCAACCCCTGATACACAAGCTGAACAACACTCCACTGCAGTGTTGTTCAGAGGGAAACAGGGACTGCATACAATGATTATAATCAACAGTTACAACCTCCACAACTGCCCCCTGTCTGCTACTGTTTGGATCATACGGGCTGATTCTCCTCTTGTTGTTTCCTATCTTCTTCCAACAGCACTGTTCCAGCTGATTGTGTGACTGAACAGACTTATGTAACTGGAAAAACAGCAAGCCAATAACGAGTATAAGAAATGTTGTGTTCGTTGTGCTGACACCTAACAAGCCATTGACATATAGCTGTGTTCAGTCAGTGGCTTAATCCTGTGACCTGGTTGCACCCATGATGGATGCTGTGGCCCTGTGATAAAATGGCTTGGCTGGAGTAGCTGTGCCTTTCAAAGGGTCTCTCTTATAGCCACTGTCATGCTGCCCTCTTCTGATACCAGGTGATAGTGCATAGAGAGCCATCCTGTCAGTGTTGGCCATGGAATTAAGCATAAAGATTTGTCCGTAACAATCAACAATTATGTGCACCAAGGAAGTTATGTGTCTGTCTGCAGCGTTACAGAAAAAATGAATGCCCTGATTTTCATGAACTTTGGTGGAACCAATGCGAATACAAAAGCTTGCACATGTATTGTTTTTCAAGAATGAAAAAGGCGAGTTACTTAGAGCTTAACGTAAAACATCTTACTTAAAATGTATGTGATCTCCTCAACTCTCTTTTATCACCAATGTACAGTAAGTTTGACGCTCTGGGACCTTCACAAGGTATTTTAAAACTAACTCAAGCTAAATGCCTCCATGAACTCTGCTGTGGAAATTCCTGGTTCCTTGGAGACAAATGATAATATTTTCCGTGACACCCCGGTCTTTCATTCAATAAAACATGGCCAATTTGCTGGTGTAATAGTCAACTGAGAAATAAAGGCACTGAAAAATGCTTTCACTGCTGCAACACCCTTAGATTCTTATTTCCTTTATTATAAAAAAAAATACTTGCAAAGGCCATAACCAGGTCTTTAAACAACATTTCTGGTGTTTTCAAGTCTTATGCTAAAGAGTGTGATCCACTTTAATCCAGCTACTGGACATTTTGAAGAATTTGGTTGCTAAGCCATGTTTGAAGAAACGCTCTCCTTAAAAGGATGTCCTTCTGCTGCCTGCATGTATACTAGTTTAATTTGATGTCATGCTGCCCTCTTCTGACTCCACGTGGTAAAGTGGTTTTCCATTGGTGCTTGATGATTTCATTCAGAAACCAGGACACTATTGTTATTTAGCCGACAACTTTATCCAAAGCAACTCTCATACACCTCAAAACAGAAAATGGGGAAATATTAGTTAAGTATCTTAAGTCCCAAACCACTGACTCTCTTATTAGTAAATCAGCAGATTATAACCCCTAAACCACAACCATAATTTTCACAGTCATTTACCTATTGACTATTCAGTAACATTCACATTATAAAAACAACCAATTAAATACTTGTGTTTCTGTGGCATGAAAACCAGGTTGCTTACATGTATAGCCACAAATGACTGATTGCCAGTAAAAACAGCTAATTGACGTTGACAGCCTATTGAAGTTTAACCCTAAAAACATTTTTTAATCAAGGTAATTAACTTTCCAACCTAATGTAGTTGGAAAAAAGGGCGTATGGGCTCGACTGTGTCACATTTTAACCCAATAACGTTGGGTTTTTTCACTACAGAAGATATAAGTTACCCCAGTGCAGGAGTTACTCTCTGCCTAAATGGTAGCGTTTCAATCAAAATAGTATTTAAGACATTCAAGAACTGTTTAAATAGTTGGCATTGAGATACGCCAATTTTCTCACTTCCCATTTCACAATGCCTACACTGCTCTGCTTGCTTTCAATAAATGGCTAAATTCTATTAAATCTTCTCTCAGTTCAGCCTTGCTTTCTTCTTGGCCTCCATTTACACACCCCTGTAACTCATTTGTGTCTCTGCCACTTAATAGACGGTGTCTGTATTTCAATCCAACACCCTGATGAAGGCTTTTATCTTTTATCTGAAGTGTGTGGCTGTCAGCCATGTAATACGCTTTGTATTTTACACAGTCAAGACTTAAAGTGCCTGGGGTTATTTTATTCCTCAGTCACTGCTTCGCTTTAAAGCAAGACTATACATCTGTTGCTGAGTTTTGTTTTTGGGGAATCTTTGGCATTTATCAACCTGGAACCATTTCACCCTGGATTTTGTGTTTTCATTTTGTGTCTGAGTAGTAACTTCAAGCTCCATCAATTAACATCGAATAAATTGCTTGTTTTTCACGGGAATTCTCCTTGAGAGGTACTTGATTCGACACAAAAGCCTTTCATAATGTTTCCAGACAGTTGTTACAACAATCTGAGCCTGTCAGTGGAAGAACAAGTGGCACTTTATTACTGACGTGGTGGAATTGCATTGAAGATTGCAGTCGTGTTTTGTGGCTGCAGTTTATTGCTCAATAATGGACCAATTCCAGAAATGGATGTCCCCATTTGTTCATTAGAACCAAAGATCTTTGAAAAATGTGTCAAAAATACAGTTAATTGCTCTGCGGACATCATCACTATGACCTGACCGGGAATGACCTTTCTACAAGCAGGAAACGAAAAATACGTCTCCAGGGGAAATGTGATGTGCTTACTTGCTGTTTAATGTTGTTTTATGTATGTAAGACCAAATTATTTGTCTTTCTGTTATAGTAAGACTTAATTTAGCTAACATTAGCAGATCATTTACATAGTAAAGTTAGTATAAGTTATAAGTACAGTTTTAGCCATAGGACTAAGTGAGATATGTGTGAAGCTAGCTAATAAGCTAACGTTAGCCACCATTGCAACTAGTTAGGCTATCGCTAAAAGTCCTGAGTGTTTGGAATTGAACAACAGTATGTGTATGCCTTCTTAAATCTACTTTTAGTTTGTAGGAAGAACATTGATTCTTCTTTTAAAAAGGTCTATAGTTGCACTATCCCAAATAGTCTGTAATCATTTGATAATTATGGGCCATTTTTACAATAGATTCTATACTAGGCCTACAAATGTGCCAACATTGTATTAGATATTTGCTGTATAGTCATTTTCCTACTATAAAACCTATACAAAAAAACAGATATAGTTCTATAATGTTTGTACGCAGTTTGAATAAATGACACATAGTCCTTACTCTTTAAAAGCGACAACTCCATAACATGGTAACTCATTAGAGGTTCATTTAAAACACAGACATCCTATTTATATAATCTGTCCCATAAAACGTTCACAGACTTGCATTTTGAGTGGTATGAACTACTTTAAAAAACATATCATGAAACACGTGAACACTGCAGCACACTGATCTTTAAAATAGATTTTATTTAGCATTTTGTAATTCAACAATTTACGATATACAGCTGACAGGACTAAGACATTTCAATGGATTTTGGCCCTAAAGGTTGAAGAACAGACATCGTTAGATTGACAGATATATATGATAGAGGATACCACTGTTCTCTATTCTCACTTTTTCTCTCCACTCCTCCCATGAAACAATGTACATTGGCATAGCAACAACACAGCATTTGTTCACTGACACCAGCACAGTTTATTTCAAACAGAACACTGAAAGTAAGACATTATTTACCCAACTGGGTTTCTTTTTTTCAAACGATTATTCTAATTATGTTTTTTTTCCTGTTGCTTAGACGAAAAACGAATGACTTCTTTAAAGTGCTGAAACATAATGGTATGTTTATGTGAGCAGTAGTAAGAAATTCAAGAGGTAATGTTCAGTAATTTACAGAGAACCACAGAAACAAGGTGAAGTCACAGTTCTTTAGTACAGTAGAACACTTGTGCAGTGAATTTGTGTATACAAATGGTCAAATGCTTCACGTAGTTCTTCAACATCAGTGTAAGATGACAATAGGCAATAGCATATTAGTATCTGAAGACATGGATCAGTTATGAACTATTTTCAATTGTGTTGATCTCTTTTTTTAAGTGTCCTGTAGGACGTAGTTGGTCCTTCTCTTTTAGTAGCCAGATAACTGAAGGTTTACTTTACCAACAAGAGAAATAAGTCAAAATATAATAGTCACTATACCCTTGTCTGATGGCACACAATTGTCTAAAATGTCCACATAAAACAAAATGATGTCCTGATATTATAATTCAGAGCTGCACAAGAATGAAAATGTGAGTTAATGGGTCCTGATGCTAAGTCAATGTTAGAGGCTGAGTAATTTTGGTGTTTTGATTTTGCTAATATTTAAAAATATTGTAACAGCTAGACAAAAAAAAGTTCAGTTAAGGGCCACTGAATATTAAACAGTAATGTACGACTGTTGGCACTGCACTGTGTACAATGTAGTTCCTGTGATATTGTTCTTTTAAAAAAAGCATCGGCATGTAGCTGCAGCCGCCATCTACACCAGAGCTCACCTTAAAAACGAACCATTCTTTCGTAGTTCAAGTTTCGATCCAAAGATTTAGTTTGGAAATGCTTTTTTAATATTAGCTGGCTTACTTTAACATTTCAATGAATACTTCAAAAACAACAAAAAAGTAATGACATTTAACATTGGATAAACAATTATTAAAATCTGAAGATACAATGTATAGTTTTCTTTCTCTTCTTTTAGTACAACAATTATTTTTCTTAAAAGATAGACTATATAATTAGCAGAATAAGACTTGGCTAGTTCTGATGGGTTAGAGGTACATCGACATCAACACTTACACTACTCCTGCTCTACATGCAGGCTCAGCAGTACGAGCAGATCCACTACACAGAGTACACAATACACCTGACTTCTTCTACGTTACACTACAAGAAAAATTACAAATCATAAAACAAAATTAAACATTACCCGCCCTCCCCGAACCCGCAAAAACAAACTTACCCCCCCTCGAAATAAAAGCAAAGATGAACACACACATACACAGTCCGATTATATATTTTTTACATTACTGTACAAAGGGAGGAAGAGTTGTGGGGGGCAGCGGAGTAATGGTAAGGGGTATGTAGAGCGATAGCATGGAAACTATGGTGGCTAAGCCTCACCTACTACAGCATGAACACTAGACAGGCAACCGTAAAAACAGGAAATGGTCTGCAAGCTGTCCCAATATGCACTGAGAATAATAACTTCGTATTGACCTTTTCAGCAAACAAAACCTCATCTAGAAAGTCCAGCACTCCTAAGATTGGAATTTTGACTTGGAGTAAGCAATATGTTTAAATTAGTAGGTGTTGAATGTATTGTTTGATAGAGCACCAGAATGTAAAAAAAGACAACTAATTACCAACCAAGGATACAATTCTCCATATATGGAAACAGCCATTGATTGCACTGTATGTTTCTCTTAACAAACCTGTTAAAAACTTGTGTAGAAATGTGTGCTTTTTCAGAAGCTCACTGTGCTTATCATGATTTATTTGAACTACTGTGCTTAGCATTGACCACCCTTCATCGCGTCCTTAATATGTAATACTTTCTGGTGTTGATTTTTAGTTCACAGTTCCACCTCTGTTGTGCGTACTACCCTGAGTGTCAGCATCACCCCATCTTGTGGATCACAGCAGGAAGTGCACTGTCATGTAATCAAAACTTCTAAGTAAATCATTGTGGGGAATAGTGGTCAAAGAAAACAAAGAATGTGCGGATATAATCTGAAGTTGTGCAACATTATTTCTGAAAATTGTTGAAATTACTAATAAGCATCAACATACAGAAATTATTCATGGCAAATATGCTTTTGTGCTTTCCTTCTTAGAATTGGAAATTAAATGAATACCTCTCTGAAATACGAAGTTGGCGCTAACATCTGCTCAGCTTGGCATAAATTCTTTAAAGTCGTTATGCTAAGCTAAGCTAGCCAGGTGCTGTCTGAAGCTTCATCTGTACTATAGACACATGCAAGTAGTATCTCAATCTTCTCATCTAACTCTCAGCAATACATTTAAAAATAGTATTATACTCCTTTAAGTCTCTCTACCCATAAATATGTTGTTTACAACATACAATTTGTGTTTTATGACACACATGCGAATACTGTTATTGTAGCCCCGTAGTTCTCCAGACGTGAAGGAACATTACAGCCAGACCTGATGCAATCCAAAACAATCCTCCCTGCCTGGAAAGCTAAAAGACAAAGGAATGTATGATCTTCACACAGCTGTCTAGATGACAAAAAGCACAACTCACGTATTTGTTCTGTATTTAGACTGCCAGAAACCTCTACGACCACACTACTACAAAACCAATCCAATTGTGCATGCTATAGAGACCCCCCTCTCTGTCCCTCCACAACAAAACCACAATTAATCAAGTCACAGACGAGGAATGGTAAACACTGTTAATTATGATTCTGTAGTTTTACATGTTTTTTGTACAAAATAAACATATGCTGTCTTTATAATTATTTACTAAGTTACTTTACAATAATGAGAGGTAAAAAGGAGATGTTTACTGAGAGAACGATACTATACAGCTACATTTAAATCTACATCATTCATTTAAGATTTTTTATTCTGTATTCTTCTGGAAAAAGCTACATCTCTCTCCGTCTTTTGTCTCTCAACCAGTCACAGCTTGATTCAGAGATTTAAAAGAAATACCTGTAAATACATTAAAGGTTCCACTGACTGTAATAGACTGACACCATACCAGCATTTCTGCGATATGCAGTATATATATAATGTTGCCAAAAACATGTGCAGGTAACTCAGGTAATGTTTTTGGTAACATGCCTTAATGGGACAGATTGTTATGACCTATGGGAGAGACAGACTACGACACACCTAGCTCGGTCCTCTAGCCCGGTACCTCCTTCACATTCCCAAGATGCATTTCACTCAAAAATAATGCCTGGAAGACCTAAGGAGAGATGGCTCTCCTATGAACAGATTTCCATCTGTATGTTTCATGTGTATGTATAGGTGATTTTAGACAGCGGGGACAAGTTAAGTGGTTTCGGTCCGCATATATTTAACAGGCCACCTTAGTGGTGTCAAGCGTTCCACAGGCAAGGAACAACAAGAAACCAAAACGTTTGTGTGTGTGTGTGAATGCAGAGGCAGAGAATACAGCACTGTTAACTGATATTCCTCTGCTGAGTTTACAAAGTTTAAGCAGCTTTAGTGGAAAAAGAAGTTACAAATGGAGGACATTTCCACAGAAATTCAGTGTAAGTCGCCATCTCAGGTGTTAAATATGTGTGCTCTGTAAGAACTTTTTGAAGAAGCAGCAGCATAAAATAACATGTTTAGTCTTAAGCTGAGATCAACTATGGTTGAGGTCAGTGTGTGCTGTAAAATGTACAATAGTGTGAATGTACTGGTATGAACGAATGTATGCACGTCTTTTCCTGACCGATGCCCATCTTGCCGCATTATCAAACTGCAAATGGCCAGTTCAGGCACGGTTCACCCTGCTTCTCTTTATTACAGCACTACTGTGTATCACATTTCAAGTCTCCAGCTGTCAAAACACTGCTGCTAGAAAGTCACCAGTTCCTAAACAGACAAGGCTAACAGAATAAAGGAGAACAGTGTGTGTCTCTATGTTGCTGCATGCACAAAGCCAACAGCGTCACAATTGTACTGTACCTCTAACTGCATATGAAGATGTACACGTTTTACAAAAAAAGTGAAAGGAAAAACAAACTGCATTATTAAATTATGCGTAACAAATTAACAACCCACCCACGCACCCAATTTTTTTCCTTTCGTCTTTTTTGTTCTTCTTCGTTTTTTCTAGAGACAACACACAGATGGATAGAAGAGGTTAGGATAGATATAATAAGCCCTTACAATATGTAAAGGTCTCCAGCGAATGGGATCTCCCCCACAGAGGACTGTGGGAAAGTGGGGTGAGGATGGAGGAGAAGGAAGAGATGGTGGAGCACTGGGGGGTCGCTGCCCTGGATAGCACTGGCAGAACGGGGGCCGTCTATGCGCTGGGGTTGGGGCTGTTGTGTGTTGTGTTGGTGGAGCCGTTGCTTCCCTGGATGGTGAGGCTGATATCATCCTTCCTCTCCGTCTCCTCCTCCTTCGCCTCTTCCTTCGGCTCCTCATTCAACTCCTCCTTATCCTTGAGGGGGCGAGTCTCCACAGTTTCTTCGGAGGCCAGAGGGGCGTAGCGGCCTGTCCGGTGCTCCCTCAGTGCAGGGCCCCACTTTGGATGTGGCCGGCAAGAGAACTTCAACCGCTGAGATAGAAAGACAAAGGAGTTACACATCAATCAGAGCAATTTATAACAAGGGGAAAATGTAAGAGCGAGTCAAAAAAATATCAAAAAGCTGTTTGTTGGGCTCTTAATCCAAGATTAATCAATTCAATTAAGGACTGAGCTGGAATTTCAATAACAAGTCATTTTCATGAGAGCATAAGGTTTTTTTTACAATTAAGGTCCCATTTATAATATGCTTCGAGGGGTGCTGTCCGGTTTGGTTGTTGTTTCCATTTTGGTCCTAAAACCATTTCATTGGATAATAATCATTTAAATGTATGTAATGTAAAGGTACAAGCAGGATTATTGGGTAACATCCTGTACCTCTCTGAAGGTGGCTCCTGGGGACCTTGAGATCTTGTAGAGGGCATAAATGGGTATGCAAAGCACCGAGGACATGGCCATGCAGAAGCCGATATACAGAGACCAGGTGGGAAACACGTAATCATTGTAGGTGATGGGCTTGTACTGGATCACTGTGAAGATCAGGATGCACTGCAGGGACAGAACAGAGACAACATGAGAAACCATTTACAGCAGGTGTCTGTATAACTAATGGAAATGATCTTAAACAGACAGTATAAAACAAAAATCTATCTGTAACTCACAAAAAATAACAAATGGGTAAAGTAATAAAAAAATATGGTAAATCAGTAAGCGTTTCCCATCCAAGTTACACTAATGGAGGTAAAAGTTCAGTACAAGTTAAATCATTATATAATGGGGTGAAGGAAAATACTGGATTATATTATGTTGGATGTTATAGTAAATGTGATACAATTGAATGAACATCCCACTGTTCCGATTCATTAAAATCATTTTTATTTTTTTGAATTTTACACACTTGGTGGTTCGTTCTTAATACCTAGACAGTTTCCCATTGAAACAGAGTATATGACTTTGCCAACAGTTTACAAATATATTAAACTGTAACCACTGTATCATGTTACGTATTGTATCACCAGATTTTTGCCCCGCTGTAAACAGCAGCACAGCAGCAATGTGTCTTTATTCAAAAGTTGCAGATAATTATAGTATAACTCATGACTGTTCCCAACAGCATCGAGTTTACTCTCTTTTCTAGCAGAGGCCCTGCAGAGCGAAGCATTAATCTGTGTAGTGAATTGAAAGAGAGAACAAAAGTGGCTGAAATACGACCAGTAATCCAAAACAATGCATTTCTTGGTTAGCCCAGAAGCTTAGTGCGCTAATACGTCTGCTTGGGAAATACCATTGATAGCAGCTCCATGTGTCTATTTCCCAGTCAGAAAGATTTACTTTTAGAAGTTTTATGTCAAACCAAACAGCCAAAGCCAAACAGATTAGTGTTGACAGCTGCTCTAAATGTAGGCCAGGGCCCGTATTCACAAAGCATTTTATCTTACCGCTAGGAGTGCTCCTAACTCGCGCTAAAACATTTTACGTAGGAGTTTTTTCTTAAAAGTTATTCACAAAGCCGCTGAGACCTACTCATACTAAGGATAAATCACTAAGAGTGAACTAAGAGTGACGCGCCGTTGCTATGGATGACGTCGATTCTCGTGCATGAGTTTAGAAGCGGTCAGTACGGTGATTGGTTGTTCAGAGTAGGCGGTCTCGGTGAAACTCATCCGCAACATCCCACAAACGAGCCCACTAAATCACCGAAAAACAAGGAAATAGCCTAGGCTAGAAATGTATTCCTATCAAATAGTTATGGACAGTGCAGTTAGCAGAATACACACATGATGACAAGTTTGTGCAGACCACGATAATGACGTTGTATATGCACGTTAAAGAGAGAGAGCAAACAATAAAAATACGTAAATTGCATTAAATCGAGGAGGCAATTAAAAGCACCCTGCAAACTATTATCCACTGAGCATATTTCCAGCACTTAAACACTTTCAATAACAGCCCATACCGCCGTTCAAGTCCCCCTATCATGATGAATGAAAACAATCTGCGTGAGCGTTGGTAGTCAGTTCGACAGTATTTGGTTTTGGTAAGTTGCGCGAGAGATCTGGTGATATATGGTTGCAAATAGGCCAAAGGGAACCTGTTAGTTTGTTTGATGTGTCCTTAAGTTTCGGGTTGAATGTACCGTTACGTCCATTACGGGCACACCAGCCACCGAAACTGGCCCTGCGTGTATTTTTATTTTAACGCGGTCAGTTTTCTAACATCCTGCACAAGCAGTATCTTTCTTTCAT